CGACACAAAAATTTATCAAAATCAAAAATAATTTTACAACAAAAAGTTGAGAGAACATAGTAACAACTCATCAATAGATCAATTTATGAACTTAACAACACTATCCAAATGAAAAATCTCTCCCTCACACACACACACACACACACACACACAAACACAAACACACATATATATATGAAAAATTTGAAGAACTGTGTTCAAATATGAAAATTTTGAACAGTCGCGCGATTCGTCTCTATACTCTTTAACAATTCGAATTTTTGATCGACGAGGCTATCATCAACGGCAAGAACATGAACTTCATGAGAATTGGAAGGCGATACGTCGACGTCGTCGAAGCTTTCTCTGATCATCTCTGACGATCTCTTCCACTGCGAAACCTATGCGCCATTCAAAGAAAATTCTCTGTTACTGAGAGTGATTTAGGTATATTCACAGTTTTGGTTGAAATCACGAGAGCTTCGAACGAATCCAATCCAAACCCTAGGAATGGAAGAGAGAAGGAAAAAAGAGAATTTGTTTGTGCGTTTGCTTGGTTGAGGCTTCGATCATGTTCCACCGCCTTGAGGAAGACATCGGCGATGGCGTATGAACCGCCGAAGAGTGATCGAAAAACTGAATCGGTGTAAGAGGAGATGGAAGAATGTTGAGAATCATAACAGAGAGCTCGTAAAAGAGTAGAGAAGGTGGGGAGAGAGTGGGTGGAGAAGGTGAGGAAATTTAGTTGAGGGTATAATAGTCTAATAAAATATTTAAATAATAAATTTTGTCCTTTATGCAAAATTTTATAATTATAAGGGGGTTTAGAAAATATAATTTTTTTTTTAGTCCTTTTAACAATGAAAGGAAGGTAAAGGGGGTTTATAGCTAAATTTCCCTATTATATATTCAAATTCAAATTATCTGTATTTTGAATTTTGTTGATAGATATAGATTATCTTTATATAGATTTTCAATTAAAATATTTTTGAATTTTGTGATAGCTTTCTCTTCTTCTTTTTTTTTTTTCTTTTTTTTCCTTTTCTTGTTGATAAGTTTGTATTCGAATAACTATTATTCTAAGGCCATGTTTGATTCACAAAACTAATAGTAAATGTATTAATAATCTCATCAAATTAGTGTGGTATTCACTATCTAATTAGTAGAATAAATTATCTCCTTGTCCATTGTTCGATTTGCATTGGATAAGAAAACATATGAATGTAGGATTACAACTATATTTATCTTCTTTTCCAATCCTATCCTCCATCAATGTTTCTTCATAATCGTTACTTTATCAAAATTTCTTCATAAATGTGGTTTTGAAAAAAAATTATAAACAAATAAATAAATAAAAGCAAAATAAAAATACAAAATGCAAAGCCATGTATGGTTTGTTTTTTAAAATATATTAGAATAGTCTGGATTGTAGATTTTAGTTTATTTCTATAGATAATATACATACAATTAATTGAGTTGTCCTAAATGGCTAGAATACTATGACTTTCATATGAAAAGTAGTTGGTTTAAATTTCAATTGCATAACAAAAATTTTACTCTCACTTCCTCAGTTGATTCAATCCTTTTCGGAAAAACATACAAAGGGAAAATCAAATTGCAATCTCTGACATTTACTCTACTACTGTGCTATAAGTAAACAGAAACAGCACCAATAAAGGAGGAGAAATCACATCCCCTCAATGGTTTAGGCCAGGGGAGGACACCCTTGTGTGGAAACTAACTTCGAACGGCCTCTTCTCCAGTGCATCGGCCCTTTCTTTAATCCAGAAGGTCGAACCATCTTACCCCTTTTCTAACTGGGTTTGGCTTTGGAAAACTTGGACTACCCCTAGAATCATCCCCACTTCCATTGGCTTGCCCTATTGAATCGACTCAACACCAAGTCACTTTTAGCACATAGAGGCATTGCTACGGACCCTTCTTGCCCCATCTGCCACTCAGCTCTGGAGGAACCCAACCACATCCTTCGGTAAGCCATGTTGCCTCCTCTATCGAAACAACCTGAGGACACCTCTTCCAAACCGGCCTAATACAAATCTTCACACATGGATCAAATCCAATTGCATATCTAATTCAGTCCATAACATACATTCCTTAGGCAATCATATTTCCTATTACCTGTTGGAACATCTGGCTCCTTAGGAATAAAACTATCTTTGGGCCTTCATCGTCTCTCATCTCTCCCAACCTATCCACTACACCTCATCTCATTCTTGCCAAAGTGCTTCAGTGGTGCTTCCTAACAAGACAAGAAGGCCACACACCAAATCGGGAGACAATTAGTGTCAGATGGACAGCCCCTGAACCAGGCTCTTTCAAACTCAATATGGATGGGGCCAAGGGCTGCCCATGCCAGGCCAATGGGGGCAGTATCATTAGAGACCATCTTGGGCAATGGTTTGCCGGGTTCTGCAGAAACATTGGGCATACCACAGCTATTGAGGCAGAAATATGGGCCATAAGAAATGGGCTAACTCTAGCAAACGATCTAAACCTTAAGAATCTAGTAGTGGAAGTGGATGCCAAGTTAGCCATTGACCTAGTAGATAAAGAGAACACACTCGTCACAGGTTCAATGACATCATTCTTAACTGCAGTACTTAATGAGCAAGTTGGGGGGAAGCAAATAAATGCACTGATTTGCTAGCTAGCATTGGAAACAACATAGATTTACGCTGTGTTTGGTTGGGGGATTTGGGAAGGAAAATGGAAAGGGAAATGGAAATGAAAGGAAAAGGAGAAAGAATTAATAGAATTCCAAATCCCAACTATGTTTGGTTGTGTTGGTTATAAAATAGAATTGATGTCCTAAAAGGTATCCTATTTCTTTATTTATTTCTCACCCCCTTTCTTTTCCCATATATTTTTTATTATAACCAAGCATAAATAGGATTACATTTCTCATTCCTTTTCCAAATCTCACCTCAAAAACTCCAACCAAACACAGCATTAGGAATTCAGTTTTTCAATGCTGCACCTTATTGTATTAGTAATCAACTGACTTTGGCTGCTAGGAGAACTTCTGGTACTATAATTTATTTATTATATGTTAGCTCCTTTATACCACGAGAGAGAGAGAGAGAGAGAGAGAAACGAAGGTATTAACCTAGTTTTAAAGGTGTTATATAATCAAGTAAAATACACCACAATTCCAAATAATCATCTCGTGTAACATGCATTTAATTTCTCAATGGACGAGTAATAGGTCCACCAAACATTCTCAACTAATTAATTCATCAAATCAGTTGGTCAGTCTCAAAGCAAAGCTGTTTGGTACATTTCTCGTTCTCTATGTTCATTTTTGGAAAACACAATATTAAACTTTTATGGCCAATTATTTTCAAAATTTAAAAAAAAAAAAAAATTATGAAACAACCTTTTCAAATTTTTTAAAATTGTTTTCACAAATAAAAATGATATGAAAATGTTAGATGTTTTTTTAACTATTCATTGTATTTGTTTCTAAAACCATGAAAAAGAAACTGATATATAGAAGAGGTAACATTAACCATGCTTCCAGTTCTCAGCAACCAAATCCAACACACAATCAAAGTGATACCATGAGAAAACACCATTACATCACATAAAATGGAACCATGTCTTTTAATTCCTTTATCGTGACGAACAAATTAGGTATGAGTTCTAATCATCTGAGAAACATGTAAATTGACAAAAAAAGAATTTCTCAACTTCAGATCAGATTTTCGGAGAATAGCATGGCAGAGACCTTAATGGTCTTATTTAAACAAATACATAGTAACTAAAGTTCAGGAAAAAGAATTCCAAACTAGCGACGACTTACCAAACTCTTCCAACCGCCACAAAATATAAATGCCCTTCATATATGAGGCAAAAGAATCAGGATGTTGCCTGCTTCGGATATGCTATGAGGTCAGCACGCTCCTGTGGCTTCTTCAGTCCAGGGAAAACCATCTCGGTTCCAGGGATGTACCGCACAGAGACAACTAGTTCATAACTTTCATTTGTTTGTCTAACGCTGTAGGTGGATAGAGATCAAACAAGTTCCCTTGAACATTCAAAACTATGTTTCATTCAATCTTAAGTCAAGTAAATATATATAGCTATGAACTTTATTGATGAAACACATAGTACAAAGTACACACACAACAATATCAATAAAGGAAGGCGAGTGCAAAAAGCATCACAGTATGCAAGATCATTCCAACTATGTTGGCACCAACTTGTACACCCAATCACTTGCTAGCACAATACCAAGTTGGTGAAAAATCAACCAACCACAAAGTACCAATAAAAACAATAAAAACTCAACCACCCAGCTTTAGTAACCCCAAAGCACACCAGATCACCGCCATACCACAACAGCAGGGAAGACATGAGCCAAAATAGGTAGCACGTAGCAATAGAACACCTATCTCAGGCAATGCCTTACACTCCCTAAATTTGAAACAAAATCCTGAGCTGTAAAATGGAACCCTTTTATACTTGATCTTTCCCACAAAGCCGCCCTCACCTTCACCAATTCCCCTATCTCAGCATAATCTGGTTGACTTCCATTAAAAACACAATCATTTCTTGCTTTCCAAACAGACCATAATATTGCAATCGGTAATGATTAATGATTTCCAGATCAGATGTTCCATTTTCTTGAGTTTAACTCCCATCCACCACTGAAGCAGCCCCTCCACACTTGCTGGTGTTGCCTAGCAAATTCCCCACTAATCCAATAGCTCAGACCATAATCTCCACACACCCGGACAGAGTAACAACATATGATTCCCTGTTTCGGGTTCAGATTCGCAAAATGGACAAGTAAACTCCTCACTACTTCTAATTACTCCCAAGTCTTTGTAGAAAATCTGTTGTTTTCGCCTTCGCCTTCGCCTTCCCTTTCCAAGCTAGCAACCCAAAAAATTGGGCTTCAGGTGATGCTACATTGTTCCACAACAACTTCGACACTTGCAATCTAGGTCCATTATTAGTATCACACCACTGTGTTACTGATGCTACAATGAACTAACCAGATGGATCTGCATCCCAATGTAGAGCATCAGGGCAATTCAGCCTGATTCTTGGGCCACAACCCAACCAACCTTGTAACCTATCAACTTCTTCCTCTTCCCATGCTAAAAGAGGCCTTCCAAAAGAAAAAACCCAAACCCCTGTGCTCTGTCTTCTTTGAACACAGTCCTTCAGAGTGCCGTCCTTATCCCCTGATAGGTTGTAAAGCCTAGGGAACTCAACCTTCAGTTGGGTGTTCATGTGCCATTTATCAGACCAGAAGTATATGCTATACCCATCCCCAACTCTTATCTTCAGCATATGAACCAAGATGATGCACAGGACAAAACGCAAAAACTATCAATGTAATTTGCTCCAAAAAAAAAAAAAAAAAAATGCATACATAAATATGAAAGCAAGAAAGAGAACTTAGAAAACACAATTTTGTTACACTTATGTCATGTTTGTTTGGGCGGACTGGATTAGTATTCCCATGACTAATAGTCCTAGGACTACGAATCCGTTGGATTATGTATCCTATCTTAACTAATAATCAAGTTTAAAATAATTAGTCCGTACTTCAATTGTTTAACCAAACATCGGATTAATAATTTTATTGGACTATTAGTCCAATCCCAAACTCATGTCTACCCAAACAAACATGGCCTTAAACTCACATCGTCAATGTGAGCCACCCAAACTTGATTAATATAATGCAAGGATCATCCGCTTATAGTCAATTGATTTTGAGTTGGATATTTTAATATGATATCAAAGCTGGGTCTTGGATGGTCTATCACAATTTTTTGGTACAAACGGTCCATTTCTCAATTGGACCTTTCAATACTATATAATACAAGGAATGAAAGGGCCTCTCCACTCATTCCACTCAAACTTAATTAATATGATGTAAGAAACGCAAGGGCTCTCTACTCATTTCCCAATTAGTTCTTCCAATCTAAGCCACCTAATTCTCCACTCATTCTTTAACAAAGAAAGGAAGACGAAGATGAAAAGAAAGAGCCAGCACAAATTCCACTCATTGCCGATTGATTCCTCCACTCACCAATCTAAGCCACCCAATTCTCCATTCATTCTTTAACAAAGAAAGGAAGTAGATTAACTAACTCACTCACTCTATCATCTCCACTAACTACAACCAACTCTTGCCGACTCTTCCGACTCAAAAGATTAACTAACTCACTCACGCACTCACTCTATCATGTTATCTCCACAACAGTAGCTAACTCACTCCCACTCATTCTTTTGAAGATTAACAGCTTAACTAACTTACTCACTCTATCATCTCCACTAACTAACTAACTAACCAACTCACTCTTTTATCTCGACTAACTACAACTAACTCTTGCTGACTCTTCCAGCTCAGCTTAGCTCAATAACTTGTTACTTATTTGGTTTGTTTGGAATAATTTAATTAAGTGTATTTTTTAATTTTTACAAAAAAAATATGCAAAAAAATCGAGAGATGATATGAAAAACCCCAACAAATTCTTATTATTCCAGTATGTAAGTCATAAACCAGCGCGGTTTTTCATTCTATGCAAACTAGCAATAAGTGCAGATTTAAAGAAATTTTAAAGAATGATTGGGCTTCCCTTAAGTTTAAATTTAGATTAAAAGGTGTTGTTTGGGCTCATGGGGGCCATCATGAGTTCGGTTTCGATGATTCAAATCGTTCATTTTATTGGACCATGCATGTATATCATCTATAAAAAAAAAATTAAATCGATCCAATATTCGTAACCCCTAAATAAATAAATAAAAAATAGGTCGATCCAATATTCGTAGCACCTTCATTTTATCGAATTTGTCTTCAAAAAAATTAACGGTCAATGTGTTTTTAAAAATAGACTCTTTTTTTTTTTTTGGGTACAAATCCGACAAAATGAATGGGTTACAAATATAGGATTAATCAATTTTTTTTTGTTTTTTTTATGGATGATATACATGCAAGGCTCTACAAAATGAATTATTCGAATTATCAAAACAGAACCCACGGTGAGCTCCACGAGTCCGAATAGCACCCTCCAGTCCAGATGATGGACATGAGAGAAATCCAGTCTTTTAAAGAATAAGTTTGGTACATTTTGACATTAAACATATTTATCCGTATCTTTTTTTTTTTTTTTTTTTTTTTTTTTTTGGGTAAAAAAAAAATTACACAATTACACTAATTTCTAATATTCAAAAAAAATATAGTAAATATTATAATTTTGACATAATTACACCGTCTTTTTTTTTTAAAATTATGTTAAAGTGACAAGAACTAATATAGATGGTGTGGACATATAAGGATAAACAAATAAAAATATGTATTTTAATATAAAAGATATGACAATATTATTTTTTTATTTATATGACTAACAAATTATTGATGAAAAAGAAAATAAGTGTAATATGAATTAAAATTGAAATATTGAAGTCTAAATCAGGCAGTGAACAGGCCAATTTCTTAAACATTACGATTTAAATGATGGGCACTTAGTCCATAAATCCAAATTTCAATTTTATTTGACCAAATGTGCAGACGCCGAATATTTTGTCAAAAGGACAAACTTAACAAATAGTCACACTCTCTCTTACTCTTTCTCTCCAAACCCTAACCCTTTCTCTCTTCAAACTCTCTCTCTCTCTACTCCTTCATCGCTACTCCTCCGGCGCCTTCATCGATGCTCTTCGTCGTTGAACCAGAGCTAAGCCGCCTTGAGCTGCCGGTTCTAGCGACAATCTCTGGTCGTCGTCGTCGTTATCTTTCGCAGTGCACAACTTCAGATTCGAGCGAATCTCTCTCTCTCTTTCTCTTCCGAAGTCCATTGCCATTAGGGGTGAGCAGCAGATATATTGATCCGCCAAAACCTACCGAACCGAACCAATCCGCCGCATTTTGGACGGATGCGTGATGATGAGCGGACGGTTGGGGATTGATTTTTTCTAATCCGCCAATCTGGCGGACGGATGGCGGATTTGAGATTTCTTTGGCCGCAACCGAACCGCCAAACCGTGAACACCTCTAGTAATTATAAGACTTTGTGTTTTCAGTTTGTTTAAATATTCTGTTTATGTTTTCAATTAAAAAAGAGTTAAATATTCTGTTGAAAAAAAATTTTCAACTTGAATATCTTTTTTGAATTGAAAAAAATAAACGTATTATTTATCTATATTTTTGGGTTTTTAAATCTATCTCTAAAAATAAAAAATAAAAAATATGATATATGCTGGTTGGTTTTTGTTTTCAAAAACAGATATAGGTGTAACAATACAGAGACATACAATCTCTACTATTACTATGTTCATGGCTTTGGTGATTTGAATTAGTTTTATATTTTAAGAACCATAGATTGTAATACTTTATGTAGATGAGGCATGCTGTGATTGTAGTATGTAGATGAGGCATGCAGTGATTGTGATATTCTAAAGTTTCAAACTTTCTTGCTTTGGATGAGGCATGCAGTGATTGTAATATTTTTTTAAGTCATTAACTGTAATACTTTCTTCTTCTTCTTTTTTTTTTTTTTTGAGAAAGTGCACAAGTTGAATTATGTTAAAAATTTATAAAATTTTAAACCGCCAAACCGATTTGCATCCATCCGCCAAACCGCCAATCCGCTCAATCTACATCCGCCGGATTGGTGGACGGAAGCGGATTGATTTTCTCCAATCCGCCAATCTGGCGGACGGATGGCAAATTGGAGGTTCCGTGGCCGCAATCGACCCGCGCCCACCCCTAATCGCCATGAACATTGTCTGGTAGGTCTGTTGATGTTCTGTTACTCACCATCAATTGTTCAATTCAATCAAATATTTTTTTTTCTTTTTTTGATTGAATCCATTCATTTCTGATATATCTAAGTTGATTTATGTTCATTTCTTTCCGTCCTTTGGATATCCTGGATTTGATCTGATTTTTGTATTTCACATCATTCTTGGTGTTAGCTGTATATTATTATTTTATACTTATCTATCCGTATTGTAGATATATCTCATCTTATCTCTGATGTATCTCTATCTCCTTCTATACTTATCTAGGTTTCTTTTCAGCCTATATATATAGGCTTCTCCTATTGTATTATTCATTCAATTCAATATATCATAATTACTCTTTTATCTTCTCTCTCTACTTTCATAACTTGGTATCAGAGCCTAGGGTTCTCTCCTAGCCCCTTCTTCTTCTTCATCACTTTTTTCCTTTTTTTTCTCTTTTTTTTTTTTTTTTTTGTCTGGCAGATTGATTCTGTCTCACGTTGGTTTTTGTTGGTTTATGCGTCTCTTGTCCATTATTTTTTCAACGTTTGGACTATACCAACCTCTTTGTCTCTTCAAGACAAAGCCAACGCCACTAGAATCACCTTCATCTGACGCCGCACGCATCGCTCAAAGATAGGCCATGCGCTGTGATGCTTCCTATACACCCCACGCGCCTCTTGCTCTCCTGCCTCGAGCTATCTTGCGCTGCAGCCTCACCTGCTAACGTGAGCCACACGTTTTGACGTCATCACTGATGTCAGCCTTGGCTTCATGTGCGCTGTTGCCCCCTACTTGCTAATATGCGTCGCGCGTATCTCTGCTAACGTACGCTACGCATTTTGTGACATCAGTCATTGCTGTGACGTCTGCCCTAGTTGACCAACTCAATCTAACAACTTTGACCAGCTGATTCCCTACCTTTCTGGTCATTTTTTTTTTGCTCGTTCAGACCATATCTTAACTATTTTTGGCCTCCTGAATTTGCTAGTGTTCTGTTTTGGCAAAATCAGTCTCTACAAGGCCCTTTCTTCTCTTTTTTTGCCTTCTTTGAGCATCATGGATTATTCTGACAACATCCATTCAATCTCCGTTACACTTGATAGGTCCAACTATGTTCTCTGGGCCCAAGCTCTCTTTGGATTCATCAAAGGGAAGTAACTTAGGCGTATTATCAATGGTGCTTTTTCTAAACCCATCCAGGAAGAAACAGAGACTGCATCTACTTTTGATGACCGTCTTGATGAATGGGAAGGAAAGAACTACTAGATTATCACATGGTTCCGGGCTACTTATGTTCCTTCTATTAGCCTTCAGTTTGGACGCTTTCAGGATGATGATTCCATTGCCTCTCTTGCCAAAGCAATTTGGGATTTCTTAAAGTAACGTTATCAAACCATTGGAGATGCTCACTAATATCAACTATTGTAGACTCTTTATCACATGCGCCAGGAACCCGTTCAGTCTATCAATGACTTCTTATCCCATATGTTGTCTGTTTGGGACCAGTTAGCTTTTTTTGAACCTACATGGGCACATTCTAAGGACGCACAGTTGTT